CAGGGGCGTAGGAACAGGGGGGGGGGGGGCAGGCCCCCAAGTTTTGGCAAGTGCCCTTTTTCCAGGAGCCAAGTGCCCTTTTTTTGCGTGAAAAATTTTCATTAAAATTGCATTTTTTGCCCAAAGGGCACTTTTGAAAACTTCAATCTATGTTATTTCCGGAAAAATGTTTTAGTAGTTTCCTGGAAAAATATCATATATCCGGAAAAAATTTTTGAGGTATTCGGAAGAATTCTCTCGTATTTAGGAAAAAAATGTGGTATATCGGAAAGTTTTTGGGGTATGTCGGAAAAATTTTTGACCCTAAATGGTACACTGACCGAAAATTTTTTGGCGACAGGGGGAGGGCAGGTCCCCTCAAAGCATGCCCCAACTTTTCCAGCTTCCTACGCCCCTGGTGCAGAAGAGTCCACCAGTGGGAAATTTTGACTCAAATGGAAATTTTGAGCTCAAATCTGGAATCCCTAGAACATATAACTGTATCATAAAATGATTAAGGATAACAATTCCTGCATTCTGGGAAAATATTTGGAAAAAAAGAAACATCGTTTCTATACATATCAGTTTACTTTATCCTTATTTTGGGGCCCCAATGTCGTATAGATGACGGCGTTCAAAGTCCGCGTGCATTAAAGCTCGCATGTGACTCGCCTTTTCTAAACGCAATCGCCTTTTCTAAACGCAATCGCCTTTCAGACTTGTGCAATTCAGTCGATCGTCTCAGAAAAACTCATTCGTGTATATGTACACACTGCGCCGAGTTCAAGCTAATTTTTCACACTTCTGCCCCACTAGGTGAGAGCATTACGAGAAATCGTGGACATTATCCTGCAATTTTTTGGCATTATCTATACGCATGGGTGAAATTGGGTAATCCAGGAGCACAGGTTGGTGGAGGAGCGGGTCTGTTTGGCGGTTTAGCTGTAGCCTTTTGCTTCGCATTATCGCCCGTCGCGGCGATTGCTGCTGGTGTTGCGGGTCTAATCGCCGGAAACCTCTTTGGAGGCGGAGTCTATCAGTGGTATCAACAGCAGCACGAGATAGATCGTCAAAATCAGAGAGTTCGTGAGTACCAAGAATTTATGCGGCAACAATTTGGGCAAGCTGTGCCCCGTGCCCCATTGTACCACGTGCCAGCCAATGCTATGGGTGAGCTCGTGTTGGATGTGCGGTATGTTCCCCCGGAACTATAGTCTGTGGTTGACAGTACGTTTTGGTATCCCACAGTACCTACCATCTTTTTCTTGAAGACTACGTACACCTTGAGTCTTAAGTTTGTAGCAGCTTAAAGAGTCCAGATCAACCACAATGCAATTCGTGCACTTGTTTACGTTTCTGTTACGGTCGTGGCTAAAGGGGATGGACCAGAGGCAGGTTTTCAAGATGGCCGCCAGTTTTTAAGATCTTTAAAACGTAAAAGAATCAACAACCAACCACTTGCAACAATACCTTACCCTCCCCCCACACCTAACCCTCACCCCCACCCTAACCCCCACACTGACCCTAATACTAACGCAAACTCTTATTTCAATTTTGGAACCATCTCATAAACTACCTCTTGTCCATCTCTTTTAGACATTACCTTTCTGTTACGTTGTGGGCTAGAGGCGGCCATTTTTGTGGCATCGAAAATAGCGGCAACAATTGAGAAAAGTAACGGGAAAACGTAAACAAAAGCGCGCATTGCATTGTTGATTTGTGGTTGACCAGGACTCTTTAAGAACGCGGCAATAATCATTGAATTATCGCATTAAGGCAGTACTAAATCCAATTGTGTAGTTGAAAAATGCAAATGTGCAAACTGCAGTTACAAAGGTGTCGTAAATATTTCTTTAAAATATGCTTTGAGTACTTTTAAATATCATTATTGGTTATTATACATTCAATATATTCATGATTTCCCGTTACGCGGTTTGAAACCGTTGTTCTGGGTAGTTTGGCTTTTGAGATGTCTGCATGTCAAATCTTCCCCAGGGGACGTAGGCTCTTTGATATAGATTTAAAATTGCGAATATCGCGCATGTTTAATTAATACGAGTATTGATAAGGTAGTAGTTTCATAGTCGAGTTTCACTTATGGTATAAATAAATTTAAGAAGATTTATTTTACTCAACTGTACAAAATCATCTCACTCAACTTTTGGATTGGAGTTGGAAAGATCACCCAACAAATATCGCGCTGGTCATATTCAGCAAATTTTTTCTGTTATTCCAGCGCACTTATACGTGTTTAAATACGATTTTTCTCAGTGGTCAAAAACTCATTATTATAAGGGACCGGTCATTATTTATGGCAGGGGTGGGGGCCGAAGAGAAAATGGTGGGGTAACTGAAAAATAATAGTTGCCTTAGGTGGGGTGGCCAAAAAATCCTTGCATGCAAAGGTGGGGTAGAAAAAAATAACCTTACTTTAATCACACACAATACAATATATACTAGTATCAGAGTTTAATATGTGATTATTCTAATGTTTTAATAAAATATTATTGCTTTCCAAAATGTTGACAGAAACACCCCCTCAACCCACCCGTAAAGGGTCATTTTTATATTCATTTACACACAAAATCTCAAATACTCCAATTACCAGACAAAATATATGCTGCCTATATATAGGGGCTGTTTATATGGTGCAACTGCAAGCCAACCCCAGGGTACCCAAGCTGACCCAGTTTTGGCAAGATCCTGCCTTTGTTGTTATTTCTTGTGTACATATGGGTAAAGAGCGGGCCCAGCTATAGCTAAGCGAGATCCCGCCCCTTTTGCCCGAGATCTTGCTTCAGGAAAAGTGACCTTAAGTCTGTAGCCCCTAACCCCGGGCATCCAGCCTCACCCCCATATAAACATTCTCTTATTACATATCTCAAAAAGTATATGTACAGTCTATTAAATTTTCAGGATTTAATTTTTGGGCATCTACACTTGATACTGCATAACTAATATGTATATCCAGTATGTGCTTGTAAACCATGCATGTGGACAATTCAGGTAGCAAATCATGAAATATGCCCTTGTGAATCTGGAGAATCATTCCAATGGCTAGTTCACAATATGTTCAACTCTAAGCCTTTGGCAACTAGCTGTTTTTCTTTTATACTAGCAGATCGTATACACGGATAAAATAAGAGAAATCTATTTACCCGTTTTACAGATTAATTTAATTGTTTATATAATCATACTTGGAATTCGGATGAATATCTTTATCTTCACACTGTATAACAGCAACTTTTTCTCATTAATTTACAGTCAGATATTCTCATATGGGACAAATACTTTAGTATCGTTGTATTGTTTACGTATTAAAATATTAAATTGATTTCATAAACTTCAAGAATTCCTTGGGAATTCTTAAGGAATTCCATTAAAATTCCGTGATAATACATGTGATTGTCTATAGTAAGGAAATAGTAAAGGAATTTCAGAGGAAATATTAGAATTTAGATAGTTGCACTCATGGGTGAGCACATATTTTGTGAAAAGTGGGAAAGAGATAGGGTGGCCCAATACGGTTAGTGTTCTAAAATATTGAAGAATATGGTTAATATATGTTTATGGGACTAGCATTTGCACTATCTCGTGAAAAGGGAATATAGCGTTGAATACAAACTATAAAAACCCATTCATATTTCAATTTTACAAGTAGACAAATTTTAAGCCTTCAGATAACTATAATTCTTTATATAGTACCTTGCTATTGTAGGGGTAACCCATAATATAAAGGCATGACTGTTAGTGTGCTTTAATCACTCCACAAGAAATAAGGGGCAAGGGATATTGGTAAACAAATATTACCAATCAATCCTATTCCCTTTTAATTATAATGTCCACTGTGGTCAAAGCACCCAATAATAATTATTATTTACTCTCTAACAGCAGATGATCTTACTCATCAAGGGCAATTTTGTACCTTGATGAGTAATACGCATACAAAATACTAAACTGTTTCATTACATATTTTATGTCTGAACCTTTGACATTGCAACGAAATAGGTTTGGGTGGGGTAAAACATTTTTCTGGCATTCCACTGGTGGGGTAGCTAGAAATTTTGTTTCGAAAAAGGTGGAGTAATGATTTTTTCCGGCTTCATTATACTTTCTCTTCGGCCCCCACCCCTGCCATAAATAATGACCGGTCCCTTATATAAAGACAGATTCGATAGTTTTTCAAATATTTATTTAGAACTTAAATACATACAATGTTAAATACTCGACAATGTCCATATATGTATTTGTGCGAGTGTTTATAGACCCAAGTTTGGATATGTCATGCAACTAAATCTAATGTTTTTATTACGTTCATTTTGTTTTAAACTAATTACACACTATTTAAAGTTGATTGAAAGTACAATTAAATCATTCTGAATGTATCAGAATTTTACAGCAATAACCAAGTCCATTCAATCGCCCGTTTCTGAATGAATTGCGTTGTCCATGGCTCGCGAGTTTGTTAGTTCAGAAAAACTTCCTATTTTCCTTCACGACCCAGTTTTTAATGCACTTTATTTCAAAATTCATTTCTAAACAGCAGTATTCTAGCGATTTATGATGGCCTTCGAAAGACAAGCGAAATTGTATATTGTTGATAAATAGTTCAAATTTAAATTATTACGAATTAAAAATTCAGTACGTTTGATCCTTGATAACTTTCGTATCGTTGTTTATCCCTTTTCTGACCGTATACCAATGCATTCATCTCACTGTTCGCTTCATTTTGATAGTATGTTGAGCCCAAAATGTCTTATTTTGAAGGTTTTAAAGCGAAATTTTAATCCTATAGCGTACAGACCATATGAACTTTACTTGAAGTCGGAAAGTTTTATTTGTAGGGCAGGGCTTTTTAGTTCTGTGTCTGCATGGTTTAATACAATTCAGGGGAATTACAAGTTCTTCTTTAATTCAAATTGATGTGACTAAGCGAGTTTCGATTATTTTTTGTTATTATTCATTCAAATTCATTCAAATGTGTCTGGTTTCAAATGTAACTGCCGTATACTCCAAATAAGGCAAGACAATGCTATGTCCCAAGGGAAGGTCTTGGCACAGACTAGGAAGTTTCTTCATTTTGTTTACAAAGACAAAGGAATTCATCGCTTGTTTACTAGTTCTGCTAGTTACCATACGTCTTCGGCTGTCATGAAACTTATTTTTGCCATCTTTAAACTGTTGTTGAGCGGCAAATTTGAAGAAATTGCTTTCCAAAGAAGCAAAGATTGAACGACTCAACGAAATAGTTACTTTATTGAAAGAAATACGACGAAAGTTTTGATTTGTCTGGGGAATTTCAACTGAACCAAACGAAGACTAAAGCCAGGAATATTTTAACAGCAAGACTCGCAATGGAGTGGCTTTTAAACAACTATTACAAGACGAAACTCTGCTTATATGAGGTAAGATGTATAAATTTTATCAACCAAAGTATAATTTGAAATTTATTAATTCTTAAAAACCAAGTTCGCCTTGAACATAGTTTCGTGTCAGTTTATATTGAGGTTCTAATTCGCTCAGCGCGTTGAAATTTGAATGTGGTATAGGCCTATTTCAAAACCGGCGGCGGCAAACATATTTCATACTTGCATTTGGTTATTTTGTTGTGCCTGTTTGCGAAGTAAAAGCCGTTGCTTCTACAATAGACTTGGTATAGTTGTAAAAGAACAAGAACTATTTAAAGATTCCAAATTATTGAGGGACTTTAGTTTCCTTGACTTTGCGTGGGATTGGCGTGTTCATGATGAAAGTATGTCAAAAGAAGGCAACTTTATAACGCAAGGAGATTGGAATTTTAAAATAAAATCCCAATCTTCTTGCCTTGTAGTTGTATAATAAAGCTGCCTTCGGGCTTGCATGGCTAGATATAATTATATAGGTCTGGCTTTTCCTTATTCTGCCGATATCATGGTATAATAGAACCTGCCTTCTTTTTCACATGAAAATATACAGACTTTTGTCAAGAATATAAGCACCAGGCGAAATTAAATAAGCTTGTCAGAACAGCCTTAATAAATATTTTGGTGAAATAAATCTATTTTGGATTGTTTCACTCGAATTACTAGAATCCGTAAACGTAATCTGTTGCTTTAGTTGTCAAACAAAACATGCGCATGAGCAGAACGGACTTGACTACTGCTTTAACAAATTTCCAAGAAACACAAAAGGATTATATTTATCGCCATGCAATCCTACAAATAACTAGATTTTAATAATCTACGCATGGTATACAAATTGTCTATATAAATTATTAAATGAACATGGATAATATTATAATGAAAATGTGCAAATAAGACAATATAGTTAAGAAATTGAAGTTACATGATAAGAGGTTGACATGTAACCAAAACGCCAGAACATCACACAGGTGAAATAAGCGATGTTTGTATTTTAATTTCAGAGGCATAAGTGGATCGAGATATACGCGTGTCGCCTCTTTAATTAGATTAAAGTCATCCATAGGGCTTGTGTAGACACCAGATTGAAATAGCCTATGGGGATTTGTGTTATTTTACTGTCACAGAATAAGCTCTTCTGTGCTTTCTCGTAATTTATTAATGGGCACCAGTTTCTCTTCAGACTGCGATGGACTGGTGTCCGTCTTGTAATTGGCTGTGTAATATATCATACACAGGAAGTACATATTATGGTTTTAAACACAATAGCCGAAAAGTTTAGAGTATCCAGTAAATCACTGCAATAAACCCTCCAAAGTATAGTATAACTTTTCAGTGAAACGTAAAATATTGCAAATAAATTTTAACGCAAAAATTTCCATAAAGACGCTGAGTGTTGAAATAAAAAACAGCGTGATCTTAGCCCAACCCAACTTCACTTGATGCAAATTGACTTCAAGCTTAGTTTGGATTTAAATTTAGAAATAAAGCTACATTTTCAAGCAACACTTAAACGGGCTGGGCTTTCCGTTAAGCTTGACCAGAGATTTCGCTAAATCGCTGGCCTAGTCAGTAGTCTATAAGATGGAAATACAATTTAACTTATTTCTATGTTTGTGACTATAACGACTAAGACTCTAGCCTCGTACCCAAGCGTTAAATAAAGAACTACGATAGTTGAAGAGTAAAATGCACTCTAATTCCTAATAGGAATCACCCAGCCATTGTAGTACTTCATGTCCCCTACCATATAGCGCCTGGGTATGAGGCAAGTAAAAGTCTACTTTTCTAAAAATAGTTACCGTAAATGATTCAATAAACGCCTGGGGTCTTTAATATATTTTCGTACTTGAAGGGGAGTCGTTTATTAGATAATAATCGTCTATTTTTACATAAGCAACGCTTTCTTGCAGTTTGTTCCTGCAGTCAGTTTGCAAATAACGTAAATAAAAGTCAAACATTAAACGTATATACTCCAACACACATAATTTCATGCAATTTAAGTGTGCAATCTAATAAACATTCGATGTAATCTAATAAACGCCTCTCTAGAGACAGGGGGCGCTTATTAGATATGCATGGGGCGTTTAAGGTGGCTCGATAAAGTTTTTGTTGGGAAAATTTGTGATTTAAATCCGCATTTTTGGACAAGAATATTTCTTGTTTAAAACAAAGGCATCTTACAGTAAGATAGTTTTTGTTTTTCGACAAGTAACAATTTGCCAAAAATACCGATCTAAATCGTGAATTTTATTTTTTTACAAATAAACTGTATTGACCCACCTTAATAGAAAGGAGCTGGAACGCTTATTATCACAGCTTATCATCGACCTCGATTAACT